AACTGAATAGCCCTCGACCTGAACGCACTCCTTAGGCTCTTGGGCACAAAGGAGGGGTTCGGTCTGAGTGTCGCCCCGCTCCGGTCACCCTGAATCAGTAAACAGCTCGGGTGCACCGATAGAGCGGTTAACTCTGACACTCTTTTGGCTGACGTTAAGGCAAGTAGCAACGCTGTCTTCCACGACAGTGCTTTCAGGGAGGAGAGCTCCAGAGGCTCAAATGGTTCTGTGACCAGAGCCTCGAGCACCAGCGGCAGGTCCCACTGCGGGGCGGAGGCGCGCACTACTGGGCGCAGCCTCCTGACCCCCTGTAACAACCGCAACATCAGTGGATGAGAAAAGGCTGACCTGCCGTCAAATCCCTCATGGCAGGACGAGGTGGCTGCTGCATACACTTTCACTGTGGAATGAGCAAGCCCTCTGTCCACCAGTAACTGTAAAAAGGATAAAATAGAGCCCAACTCACAAGATAGGGGCTCTATTCTCCGCTCCTCACACCATCGCTGGAATCCCAGCCACTTCGGCCTGTAACAGGCTGTGGTGGATCCTGCTCTAACTGCCTGGATAGACTGAATAACGCTGTCAGACAATCCACCCTGTCTCAGCCTGTCCCTCTCAGGAGCCAAGCCTGGAGAGGACGGCCCAGAGTGGGTAACGCCCCGATTGCACCTGCCTCTTGAGACATCGCCCCCCAGAACTGGGGGATCGCCCAGGGCTGGCCCACCTTCATCTGTGTCATCTCTACCATATCTACCACGGAGCCCCGACGCGATCCGGTGCTACTAGCATGACTGCCAGACGTTCCCGCCTCACTCTCCCCAGGAGAGGGAGAATGAGACGCAGCGGTGGAAAGGCGTATAGCAGCTTCCTTGGCCATGGCTCGTGTGCAAACGCGTCCACCCCCAAGGGCGGGTCGTCGCTCAGGGCCATGGAAAACCACAGGGCACAGTGGCTGTTGCGCCGGCTGGCGAACAGATCCACTTCCGCTCTCCCGAACTGGGCCCAGATCTGCTTCACCACCTCCGGGTGAAGCGTCCATTCGCCTGGCAGGGGGCCGCCCCTCGACCTGAGGTCGGCCCCCCTGTTCTCCAGTCCCGGGACATGGAGGGCTTTCAGAGATAACACCACCTCTGAAGCCCATAACCACAGCCTCTCCGCTGTGGCCAACAAGGCGGCGGAGCGGACTCCGCCCTGCCTGTTGATATAAGCCACTGTGGTGCTGTTGTCACTCCTGACCATTACATGTCTCCCTTGAATTAGGGGCATGAAATGCTGGAGGACTAACACTACCGCCCGTAGCTCTAGGAGGTTGCTGTGTCGTGTCTCTGTCTCCAGCGCCCACCTATAGCCCTCTTCAGGCAGGTCCCTCCCCATCCTGTTCTGGATGCGTCCGTGAACACTGTGATGTAGGAGGTTACCCGTTCCAGTGGAGACCCTCTCCGGAGGTGACCGGGGGACCCCCAGAACCGGAGGTTGCCTTCCACTGAGGGGGGGATGGTCACCAGCTGCCGCTTGTGCCTCTTGGGATCCAAACGCAGACTGGAAAACCACCTCTGCAGGCGGCGCATATGCAGTAACCCGAGCGGGACCACAATGTGAGCAGCCGCCATGAGACCCAAAGTCTGCATGACAGTTAAAGCTGTCACTGTTGCCCCCTGTCGCAGCCTGTGCACCGCCCGGAGAAGGGACGCACTTCTGCTCTCTGACAGGGTGGCGCGCAGCGCGTCTGCATCGAGCACCACACCCAAATACAACGCCTGTTGGTGAGGTATGGGGGTGCTCTTTTTCCAATTGATTGCAAAGCCTAACTTGGTTGTGTGATCAATTGTGCTGTGCAAAGCATTCCCTGGACCCAGCCATGACTATGAGGTCGTCTAGGTAAAAGAAAACTCTCATGCCGTAGGCGCGCAGCGGTTGAAGCGCAGTGGCCACACATTTGCTGAACGTGCGTGGGGATAGGGAGTAGCCGAACGGTAGTCTGTTGTACTCGTAGGCTACCCCCTGGAAGGCAAAACGCAGATACTTTCTGTGCTCTGGCATAATCTCCACATGAAAGTATGCGTCTTTCAGGTCGATGGTGGTGAACCAATCGCCCGGTTGCACCAGCCCCATTAACTGTTTTATGGTTAACATGCAAAATTTCCTGCGGAAAATGTGGCGATTCAGGCTGCGCAAATCTAGAATAGGTCTGAATTCCCCTGTCTTCTTGAGAACCAGGAAGTACATGGAATAAAGACCCTTTTCTCTGTGCTGAGGATGCACAACAGGCACTGCCTGTTTCTGCACCAGAGCCTGAATCTCTGCTGAGAGGAAACCCATCTCCTCCTGGGAGGACAGATTTACCTCTCGCATGCCTCTGAATGGAGGTGGGATGCTGCAAAACTGCAGTGAATAACCCCGTTTCAGTGTCCTGTCCATCCACACAGCTGAGGCTCCATTCCCCATAACATTGCGTTAATGGACAAGCCCTCAGCTGTGGGGCCGCAGCTATGAAGCTGTGATACTCTCTGGCGACCCGTTCCGCAGCAAAACCCCCCGTGAAGGGAAGATTTGCCCATGGAGGGTCGACACAGAAAGGGACGATTATTTACTGAGGTCCCCGAACGCACCGCCGTGCGCTCTTGTGTGAGCGCACGCTCCACCATAATGCTGTTCTCACCACTACGTTAAACAGCATTAATCGGAGTCTTTATAGGCGTAGTGTATTTTACTGAGGTCCCTGAACGCACCGCCACGCGCTCTTGTGTGAGTGTGGACTCCGCCATAATGCAGCCCTTACCACTACGGTAAACTGCATTAATTGGAGTATTTATTCTAGGTGTAGTGTGTTCCCTAATACGCCGGCCAAAATGCCCCTGCTTTGATAGCACTTCCTGCAGTTTATCTCTCTCATCTGCGCATGCCCACTAGCTATCTCCGTTACAGGAGCAACAACCGGGGTAGTGAGTGGGGAATATGTACAGTCAACAATGTGTGTGAGTGCAGGATTGTGAAAACAAACGACACTCAGACTTAGATACAGATCAACCTTCTTTTTATTAGACATGACAGGGATCTGAGCATTATACAGGGAGGAGGTGGGATTCACCCTGGCGTCCCGGGTGGAGAGACCCGTTGAGACGCTTCCTCCCCCCGCCAGTCAGCTCCGTGATGGTGGAGCGCCCCACCCGGCGGTTCTCTGCTGCTGCTGAGTCTGCCGAGGTCGGCAGCCCGTCCCCGTGGCTGCGGCGGCCATTCCATGGATCAGATTGTTCATCTGACCTATGCAGCAGTCCGGATAATCGCTCCCGTCCTGAGACGGGAGAGCGGGGGCGTCTGTTTGAGGAGTAATCAAAGAGACGCCCAACACGCCTAGATTATTGGCCGCAGCCGCCATCTGTGCACCGAGCGTGAACATTTTATCCAAATACTCCAAGGCATCTGGGTCCCGCGGCAGCGGGGGCAGAGGTTTCTTCCCCTCCGCCCAACCAGATGTCCGCGGCAACAGATGGGCCGCCAGGCTCTCATCGAGGGGGGACACACTGTGTCTGATCGGCCCTGCACCCTGATAATGCCCGACATGGATGCTACTGAGGCCTTCGCCCTCAATGGACGCCGCCATGTCGCCTCCACACACTGCCAGATATCTTGCAACGGGGGCGAGACGAAGGCCGGCTGTGCCGGAAACACCGGACCGTAAAAACCCCTGCCTAAGGCGGCTTATAGGCCTCGGTGGCAGCGGTGGGGGAGCGGTAAGCCTACACACTCCGCAGCCTGGGTCATCACCGCTGGGAAGTCCAGCCGCGCAGACCTGAGTGCTGGACCCTCCTGGCCATCGGAACCGGGGGTGTCGGACAAGGAGATGTCCTCGTCATCTTCCCCCTCTGCGAAGTCGACCACTCGGTCCCTCGGAAGGGCAAATTCAAATGGCACGTCCTCCAGATCGTCCATGTCCACCACCTCGAGGTCCGGATCTTCAACCTCCACGTGCACCTGCGGGCCGAGCTTCCTCCACAAGTGCTCCGCACAATGCCGACGGCTCATCAGCAGAATCGAGCGAGAGGAAACGCAGGCCGGTGTCTGGCCCATTCCCTGCTCGGCATGGTCCGGCCCCAGGCACTGGAAGCACTGGCGGTGCGGATCCGCTCCTGCAATCAGGCCAGGCCAAGGCACGATGGGCAGGTTCGATGTTCCAGGAGTGGCTCCATTTTTCACTAATTCGCTTTCTACTTTCTCTCATACGTCTCAGATAGTTTTCAGTGTCACTTCCGCTCGCTGAAGAGTAAAGGATGATGGTCAGGAGGCGAGGCCTCCTTTAATACGGAAGTGAGATGCGCGCGCATTCAGGTAGGCCCGCCCCGGGGCCGGCTACGTCTATAGAAGTCTCAGTAGGTGAATGCTTGCATGATAAGGTAATACCCATAGAGTCCAGTAGAGGGCGGAGCCTGTGAGAGATATAACAAATAACTTGGATTTCGATTACATTTTTACAAGTTGGCTAACATACAGCCGACTAAAACCAACAGGTTTCACAGGTCTCATTATAAAAAGTCAATGGTGGTTTTCTTGGCATGCAATCATATCAACAAAAAACTCTAAAAAGTACAAAATAAGCTCTGCAGTTAAATCTTACATGGGATTTCACAGACCTAAACATGATGCATCAGTGTTGGTATGCCTTTTAGTAACACAGACACCTGTTTCTAGCTAGCAGACATCTTTAATGCAATATATACAAATGTATTAAGAGCCTATACTGATATAAGGGCCAAACCCAAACAAGCAAGGGGCCAGATTGGCCAATGGGCCTTGAGCTTGACAAGTGTGCCTTACATCATGCCTGTGTGTGTGTGTGTGTGTGTGTGTGTGTGTGTGTGTGTGTGTGTGTGTGTGTGTGTGTGTGTGTGTGTGTGTGTGTGTGTGTGTGTGTGTGTGTGTGTGTGTGTGTGTGTGTGTGTGTGTGTGTGTGTGTGTGTGTGTGTGTGTGTGTGTGTGTGTGTGTGTGTGTAGCTTGCCCACACCATCCTTGTTGCGGTCCAGGCTGTTGAAGAGGAGCCACAGCCTCCTCTCGTGAGCCCACAGGTACTGGGAGAACTCGTGGAAGTCCAGTAAACCATCGCGGTTGTTGTCGCTCTCCAGGACTATCTGTTGGGGGGGGGGGGAGTGATGTCATTCAATAGCTAGCTACAGACAGGTGCTCCATATATGATGGAGCAGGTGGAGATGGTGGGGGTGTACAGGTGAGGGTGTGTTGGTAATGTAGACAGCACTGAAGTGACAGGGGTCAGGGGGGTACAGAGAGTGAGGGGGTCAGAGGGCTGTGCTCCCTATGAGGTTCCAGAAGTAAACACATCTTACCGCCCACTTTTGGGGGGAAACAAAGCTGTCATTTGAATGGCGGTCAATACAAATTCTGAAGTTTTTGCCAATCCGATCCGATATTTAAGAAAACCGTGGATTTTTGGATCTTCCAAGAGCCCGATTACAATGGCCAGACAGGCAAACAATTACATTAAATCATTGGAAATCGACGATCGGCAGAGGTGGGAGTAAGTCCTACTGTACATGTGCAAGTCATGAGCAAGTCTCAAGTCTTGACCTACAAGTATCAAGCAAGTCCCAAGTCACTGTGGTGAGAGTCAAGCAAGTCAAGTCAAGTCATTGCTCAGGTCAAGTCAAGTCAAGTCAAGTCATACAAAATTCTGATGAATAAGCCCAGTTTCCGCATTTAAATCAGTTAAAAGACAGTGGTTATGAAAATGGATTCAACCCACACTATGATCTTCATCACATACACAGTTAATCATTTGAAATCTAATTTAGACCGATGACAATCATATTAGATTCATATTAACCCTAGAACTGCAGACAATATAGCTAGGACTCAATCAATCTGTTCAAAAAGGCAGAATTCCAGGTAAGAAAATCATATATGGCATTTGCCATTACACATATTTAATTTACATTTCTGTTAACACTAGAACCGCCAACAGCGTCAGCACCTACATAGATATCATTTTCAAATCATTTAATTTGTTCCTCTTCATCATTTCCTTATAAACTAAGTAGGACGATTTAAAACTCAGTTAATTGGGTTAATTTAGAAATTGCTTCAGTTTATCATCATAACAGATCAAAAAGTTCAGATTCATTTTACAATAAATCAAGGAATGATGCACTTCTACAAACAAAAACAACATAATTAAAACATTTAAACAAACTACTAAAAGTAGATGAACTACATTATTCAACAGTTTACAGTAACTTCTGATAACACAGGGGAAATAAACGAGGCATCTCTTTTCCTCTCTCTCTCTCCCTCTCCTGACTGCCCGTCAGTATCAGTGTTAGTCAAAATGAATCCCTTGGCGGTTCTAGTGTTCATTTACCGTTTTGTCTTCTCTTTGTAATGCTTAATCGATTTGAAACCAAGTCTAACGTAGCTTAAACTTAACGTTAGCTTTCTAGCTAACACAACACATTCACGCACCTTTCTCTGTGGGCTTTTTTGTAGTGACGAATGAAGTTGGATGTTGTGGTGGTCGTGTCACTGATCTTTATGCTGCAGACCCTGCATACCGCTGTTCTCTTCTTATTAGCGTCATCGACAACATAATCCTTGAATCCAAACTTCACTATTTGTGGAGTAACGCTAGCCGCTGCCATGTTACACTCCTGCCGTCTAGTGGGTTGCCAGGTTTGCGCGCACGACGCTATAATCACCCAATCGCGTTTCGAAAAAACTAAACGTAATATCTCACTACAAAAACAAACGCAAATATTAAATTTTAAACAGTCAAGTCCTTTCAAGTAATCTGTCTCAAGCTTAAGTCAAGTCTCAAGTCGTGAATACCAAGTCAAAGTCAAGTCAAGTCTTTTATCAATGTTAGTCAAGCAAGTCTCAAGTCAAAAAATATACGACTCGAGTCTGACTCGAGTCAAGTCATGTGACTCGAGTCCCCACAGAGCTCTTCTTTTACTGTCCTTTTTTTTAGTTAAGTTAACTGTAGGTTACTCTGAGGCCCAAGCCCCACGGGAACGAAAACGGGTTGTATCCGCATATTTCTCTTGCGTATAGCCCTTTTTGCCACACGAGGCCGTAACGAAACGATAGAAACGGACCCCGCAAACGACAACGGGTCCAAAGGTGGATAGATCTGGGAATGGAGCGTTCTGGGGGGTCATACGGCTCCGTGTGATCGCCTCTATACGGTCATTTTCTGATAATGACGACGCAATAGCCCCGCCTCTCCCCACCTCTCCGCGTACCCCGCGTCATTGCTGATGTGTTTCGTTAACAACAACAACAATGGCGGATCGCAGCGTTGCTATTGTGCTCCAGACGCTACTGACCATGTTACAGTTCTTTGTGCAACATCTACAGGAGCTCATCCATCAGCAACAACAGGACATGGAGAACATGACCTACATGTTGCTAAGACTACCGCGGGGAATAACCAGAAGGGCAACCAGGAGAAGGTTTTGGGTAAGACCGGGCAGAAGCAGCAGTTGGTGGGACAATTTTGTCAATGGCGTTGTCGTGGATGAGGAATGGAGGGAGAACTTCCGTATGTCCAGAGCCTCTGTCGTCGCCCTGACCGAAGAACTGTGCCCATATATCGAAAGGCAAACAACAAACATGAGGGCACCAATTGATCCACTGAAAAGGGTTGCGTTAATACTGTATTACCTGAGCGATGGGGGAAGGATGCGGAAGACTGCTAACGCCTTCGGTGTTTCGCGCCAGGCTTTGTCCGTCATTATTAGGCAGACATGCAGAGCGATCTCAATCCACCTGGGTCCAAAATACATCAAGCTGCCTTTTACTGAGCCCGAGACCGCGGATCTGGTTGAGGGCTTCGATCATGCTCATCACATGCCACAATGTTTAGGAGCAGTGGACAGAACCCCCATCGAAATCAAGCAGCCATCTACCAACCCCACTGACTACATCAACAGGAAAGGCAAACATTCCCTTAATGTACAGGCCGTCTGTGATTACAAGTACCGATTCATGGATGTTGTGGTAAAGTGGCCTGGGAGTGTGCATGATGCACGGGTCTTTGCTAATTCAAAGCTAAACATGTACTTGAAAACTGGAAAGATCCCTGCTCTGAGAAAACAGATTGTGGACGAGGAGGAGGCCATACCAATTTATCTTCTTGGTGATCCTGCCTACCCGCTGCTGCCGTACCTGATGAAGGAATATGCAACCGGTGGCTCCACAGTTCAGGAACAGTACTTTGGGCTATCTTTGTGTAGGGCACGTATGGTCATTGAGTGTGCTTTTGGTCGCCTCAAGGCCAGATTTGCTGCACTTAGAAGGCCTATGGACATAAACTTGGTTGACCTGCCCCATGTCATTTACTCCTGCTTTGTCCTCCACAATGTTTGTGAGGCCAGTAAGGAGGCTGTGGATGATCAATCTGTGTTGGGAACAATTCAAGGTGAAAGGGATTTACAGCCTCCCACACAGAGCAATAGGTATCTCACTGACTGTAATGAGGGGGAGGGAAAGAGAGTGAGGAGAGTGCTTACGGCTTACATTGACCCTTAGGACTACATAAAAGACAGACTGTATTTTTTTTTTGGAAGGTTACTGTGTTAAGATCTGACAAACATTCTTTGTTACATTCACTGTGCAGCTCCTTCAGTGACAGGCTTTTTTTTTTTTTTACTTAATACTTCTTAATGTATGTAACATTAAACTACAAAATATGTGATTCTCCAATGTTCAAAGTGTGAAATGAAAAATAAAATTGGCTGCAACCACTTCCAGACTTTCTTTGAACATAAAGTGCAACAAATGTGCAAACGCAGTATCATATATATTTATACTTTCCCATAAGGACCCAACGTGGCACGGTGTCACATGAACTTTAATGTTCTGGAAAGTTACACTGATGTTCCATCCTGACTTTCACAGGAAACCCGGAGTGACATATATGCACGATTAGAAATATGATTATGATCTGCTCAGTTAATTTAGCTGATTCAATTATATTTAGTTAATATATCCTTTATTCTTCAGTTCAAACAATGTTCAAACCAATTTAAACCAAAAAAGCAAGAGTTATTTTACCATTGAAGCCCAATGTGACATGTGACATTTCAGATATTTGACACTAGGGGGGGTTATTTATCAGAAATATGGTCTATATATGTCTTAATTATGTTCTCAATGTTCCCAAAAGTAGAAGCGGGTCTGGGTTCTTATGGGTTAAACAACTGGCTTACAACGCAAAAAACTGAAGCTCACTACTTTATCAGTCAACTTGGCCAGTAATAGATATCTCACTGACTGTAATGAGGGAAATACAGTGAAGAGTGCTTGCGGAGTACATTGACATGAAAGACAAGACTGTTATTTTGCAAGGTTTTTTATTAAGAACATTTGCAAGAGCTATAATGATACATATATTCACTGGAATAAAAAGTGAAATGCTTTCAGTCCACATGTTCACAGTGCAACAAGGAATAGAACACCTTGACTGGCAACAAAAATAGGGATAAACATATTCACTGGAATAAAAAGTTAAATTGGCTGCACCCACTTCCAGACTTTCTTTATACTTATAAAGTGCAACACAAACTGAAGCTCTGTGCTTCAACAGTCCTCTTGAAAGAGTGACTGCCTGCATGAAAACTGAGATGGTTGCCGTGGGGGGTCAGGGGTCATCGTGTGCAGGTGTGGTGCAGAGGGGTTTGGTGTGTAGGCAGGCTGTGGCCTTCTATACAGGTACAGTGACTGTTCCGGGAATTGTCCACCGCTGCTACTGTGGGGTTGCGCATGCATGAATTCCCTCATCAGGGAAAAGCCCTCCCGAATATTATCATTCATCAGCTGAAAGCTTTCTGCGTTGCGGGTGGATGTTTGATGATTTTGCTCCATGAGCTCCACCATCCTCCTTTTTAGTTTGAGGTCTTCCTGCACGGCATGGTCAACTGGCAGTTTTCTTTTCATGCGGTCACTTCTGTGGCCGTTCAGCTGCACCTTGAATAAACCAGAGCATTTTTGTATTATTACACAATAGGACCATAGCCACCAGATAACATAAGACCAAAGGCATGTTGTGCAATAGCTTTCAATACCTTCTACTTTTACAAATACAACAGCCCTCAATATCTTCTACTTTTACAAATAC